AGAAATCGATCGCGAAAACAAGGTACATCACACATTTGTCTATTAAGAATTTTAAGTCAGTTCCGTTGTAAAAGCTGTAAGGAAACATTAAACTTAGACGTCCTAAGTTTGATAGTGACATTTATGAGTAGCAGATTAATATTCTTATCGCCATAGCTGAAACAGGTAATATCTTTGACTGCAGTTGTATTTTCCATGTAGAATATTACGTCACGTGCAGTGGTTGTGAGCGTCGAGTCTTCCTGAGATTACAGCCTGTGTACAGAAGACTCGCCTTTAAGTTTCTGTAACTAAATTGCCAAAAAGCAGATATGATGGGAGTTGGATGACTTCTTAGTTTAGTTAACGACGGTATCTCAACAGCGCAAGCGTGTAGCACCAAGTGGATGGGTGATTGTAATGAACCCGGAAGGCAATAGAAGGAAGCGGCTGTAGCCTATTTTAAAGCCTTATACCTTCAGATGGAGAAAACTGCGTAATGAGGAGCTTCATAACCTGTACTCTTCTCCAAGTATAATTAGAATTATCTAGTCAAGGAGGATGAGGTGGCAGGGCATGTAGCACGAATGGGGGAGACGAAGAATGCGTATAGGATATTGATGGGAAAGCCAGAAGGAAAGAGACCACTGAGAACACCAAGGCATATGTGGGTGGACAATATTAAAATGAATCTTAGAGAGATAGGAGGGGATGGTATGGTATGGATTGGATTGGATTGGATTGGTCTGGCTCAGGATAGGGACCAGTGGAACCTTGGGGTTCCATAAAATTCTGGGAAATTCTTGAGTAGCTGCAGAATTGGCTGCTCCTTAAGAATGGCTCAGCTCCATGAGTAAGTAAGTAAGTAAGTAAACCTTCAGATGGATAGAGGAAAACCACGAGGAAACTTCATCAGGATAGCCATCCTCCGAGCTGAGAATGTAACGCGGAAACACCCGAGTGTTACAAGGAGTGCTAACCTTCTTTGGCGTGGGACATAACGGTCCTGGGCGGGGACAACTCGACAAGGCAAGAGCAGGACAGTGACTGCGCTCCTTCAGCCACTAGAGCTTTTCCTTTCACCTGCCAGTACATGCATGTTACAACGTGCAGACCGTAAGGCCACTCGGCCTGTTGGCCTTATGTAACGAGATGGCTGGAATCAGCTTATCGCATTGCCCGGCCTCGTTAAAAATATGGATTTACACACTAACATGGACTGATCTAGTTTTTCGCCATTGTTCACATGCTAAATGAACCAAATAAAACTTTAGTATAGCCCAAATCCTGACAATGTTACTACAGTTTCAGGCATAGACCTGTATGGCAACAAATATGATTACTAGAATCTTCCGCGTTAGGTGTGAGAGGCCTTTCACGGAATATTCTACCCCTAACACCATTATTTCGTATGAGCTTCAGATACATATTTTCAACATTTTTGCAGCGGCCTATCTTCTCGCGTACATTTTATGGTTACAGTATAACGTTCAAGTTATCCCAGGGCTTAATTAATTAAGCACCACTCCATGAAGATTATGGAGGAGTATAGGTGTACCTCTATCATTCTTAACCTCTGCACCAGATGTGGGTGAGTGGTCAGCTTCACTCTCCTGATGCTCTCAGGTCAAACAGCCTCCAGTGCCCATTTAGTGAGCCCCAGAGCCGGTCTGAACATATTTAATGGTTGTTGTAGTTAGGAACTCAGCCGTGGCAACATAAAGCCAGTGTTGGAATGAAAGCACAAGAAATATTAAAAAGAAACGTCACAAATCTTACACGCGTGTATATCTCGGTGGCGGAGTGTATAGTTCAGGTTGAATGCTTGTACACTGTTAGTCGGTCACAAGAGCCTCTTTATTACAAACAGCGAAAGTGATTTGGAGCTGAAAGACTGTGATGTAAGTCAACTTCTTACAGCTATCTCAATTTAGTAAACAAATTATATATTGTCAATGGCAGTCGTGTGCAACCCTGCGTTTCTTATGCGACCAGTTGTCACATGACTTCCGGAACGACCACACCCACTAAGCAGGGCAAGGATGCGAATTACAAATGAAGGTAACGCCTCACAGAACATGTGTTCCAAGGCTATCTATAACAACGCTTTTGATTAATATCCAATAGCAGTTTTTGCGGTATCACTGCAACATGTTCTGCTGCATTAGCAACAAAGCCAAGTATCATTGTCTTTTTATTAAACTTCGACGGGTTAAAATTACATCATGATGTGGCCAGGATTTCGTCATTCGGGCCCGCTTCCTGTGAAAGGTTAATCAAGCGGGAGTTTCAGGACTCCCACAGTGAAATTGGCATGCCATCGAATGTCAAATATATTAGTGCTTTAACGACGGTTCAACTAAAGCAGCTATTCGCTACTTTAATGCAATTAACGAACGCAAACCGAAACGTACGTCCCTAATCCTAATGTGGTTTAAAATTTGTTAATGTCACTTTGGCGACATCAAATATAGTAATTTATATCATGCCCCTTAGCTAGGTCCTCTGGCCGCGCCATAGCTTAAGCGGTTAGTCGCTGGCTTTCCACCGCGGCGGCCCGGGTTCGATCCCGGGTCTGGTCAAGTGGGATTTGTGGTGGACAAAGTGGCGCTGGGGCAGGTTTTCTCCGAGTACTTCGGTTTCCCCTGCCAGTCTTTATTCCACCAGTTGCTCCACAATGCGACTGGACTGCTCTGGTATGTTCCGACGCCAAAAGCAGTTAAATTAAAGCTATGAATATCTCATGCAGACGTAATATTTATACAACCACGACCCATTCTTCCGGAATTTGACAGTGGATTTTCCATGATACAGACGCGATTGTTGTATGCCATTCACATGTTATTCAGAAAATATGCACGGAATTTTAGCTACAACTTTAGAATCTGAGCAATAAAAGCAACTAGCGTAGGTTACAGAGGTCCCCAAAATATGTTTTTTTCTTCATATCGTTTAAACAGCTTGAGGTTGCCACCAAGAAGTTCTTGGTGCTATATGTAAACCTGACAGAAGTTAAGTAAGCGGCATACCCATCCTTTCATCAGAGAAGATGCTATATAAGAACTATGCCTGCATGAGTTCAGTTGCAACCCACCACAAAAATAGACTTGAGGAGCTTGGTGCCAAGATGAACTAATTGGCAGTAAACTGCCAGTCACAAAGTCATTTTGACTTTGACTTGACATTAAAGAAAACTTCAGAACACTAATTAAAAGCCTGCCAAACAGAATGAAAATGATTGTAAAGAACAGGAATGTATACAAATATTGGGATCGAGAGGTTTTGGTGCACTGGTGTTTCCATAGGAATGCATATTTTCAGACTCTTAGTCTCATAGTTTGCCCATCTAAAAATGTGATTGGATAGCCTATGCACAATTCAGCACACTCAATTATATGATTGTGAGGTTCTTTGGAGAACCTTTATGTGGCTCGTCCTACAGCCCCTGTCCGCATAGGCCTACAGGTGCAGTGCATTTATGGAGGAGATGCCATAAGAGACATCTTTTTCATTGCATATGTTGGAAGTTTAGAATTTGTAACACTAAAATCACACATAATGTAGCTTATGTTCTGTAAAATTAGCTGTACAGGCTTTTTGATCCAATGGATGTTGAAGGTGGTTTAGACATGTATTTGAATTGGCGTTGCTAAGTGACATACAGGTTTCATGTTCTTCTAATGTTGTAGACTTTGCTTTTTGGATTACAAATTACCAACAGCATCTTTCCATTCTGTGATAGAGACATTCTGTTACATATTTTCTGGAGGAATCTATGAATCCTCATATTCCATTTCATTCAGATCTGTTTTAGTGTTTACTGTCTCACCTATGCCTATGTCTTTAAAGTGATCTCTTTCCTTAGACTTTTAGTTAAAATTTGGTATGAATTTTTCTTCTCCACTATGCATGCCTTGCCCATTTCATTCTCCTGGCCTTTATCAGCATTATTATAGTGAAAGGGGTAAATTATCTGACTAAACCCAACCTAGTCTAATCTAACCTAACCTTTGAGTGACATTTCCCACACACATACGCATTGACTGAACTGCCATGACTGTTTCCAGATATTCATATGTGTTAATGGCATATCACATGCAGAATAAGTTGGAAGTAAGGTCAGATAACATTTTGCATCTACTTCATGTCCGCACTTCACATCCAGTGACCGTTATTTTCTCTTCATGAAGTTAACTTCTGAAACAAGGAACCAGCACTGAACATAATCAAAAGAAATTACCCAGAGGACTAAAACTCTGACAACTACAAACTCTGGAAGAAATAACCTGTAGAAGTTAATTCTAAAAATGCATGACCACAACCCAGAAGATTTAAACATGTATAAAACCCTTTTTATATATTCGAGGACTTAACTGTACATGTTTAGATTTAAGAACTGCATGGCTGTGTTACAACTTGAAGAGTATGATATACGGGTTCTTTCCCCCCCCACTTGGCACTACAGCCCCAGTGGGCCTAGGCCTACCTCCACGAACTTCTCCGTTCACTTCGGTTTTTCTAGATCTTGCACATTCGGTAGGAGTCCTTGTGTGGGTGATCAGCTCATCGGGCTTCTACCTGTACACAAACAGAAGAATGCACACACATGAACTAAACATCCATGCCCTGAGTGGGATTCGAACCCACGATCCCGGTTTCCAAGCGAGCAAAGACAGTACATGCCTTAGACCACTCGACTACTGTGACCAGCATACTGGGTTCTAACACCATATAATTCAGTAGACATCCACCATGTTTCAAAAAAATGTAGTGGTGCCTACTTCAGAGCCCAGGAGTAACCCAAGCAAGAAAGCAGCAGGATGCTGGTGGCTGGCACCCACTTCTTGCTGACTTCCAGCTTGGCTTACTCTTCAGCCTTGAAAATGGAGGTCATACATTCCACGAAAATGTTGGTGGATTTTTAATTGAGCTACATTATGTTATAAACCAGAAGACTGAACTCTTCATAGTCACATCTGTGAGAACCTTAAGTATAGCATGTTACAACTTCTCTGTTGCAGACTTCCCAGGAGTATGCTTTGCCTCCACTCGGTGTGCCACTGTAGAGCCTGGTCAGACATGGGAGCTCTCACCTTTCTGTGGCCGTTCTACTTGCGTGAAACCAGAAGGCGAGGAGACTGGCCACTTGCTGGAGCTCGTGGAGGATTGTGGCCCCCTGCCCAAACCCAATCCTAAGTGCAAGCTCTCTGAAAAGACCAACAAAACTGCTTCGTTCCCTGACTGCTGCCCCATCTTTGAGTGTGAGGCTGGAGCAACCCTGGAGTACCCTGAAATTCCTACAGTGGCTCCTCCATCAGCAGAGAAGAAGGATGCCAAGGCTTAATTTATTCACTTTACTGATACCTTCTCCTCCACACCTCCAAAAATCTATGAAATTTCATGTAACAACTATAATTCTTTGGACAATGGTATGCAATAAGAAACGTATTAAAATATGGTAATAACCATCCTTATTTTGTTTTTGAAGAATTTTAAGATTTTTACCTGTTTCCAAAATGTACTGTTCTCCACAGCATTTCTTACATTCTGAAAAACATATAAAAAATGACTAGTTCTGGCAGTTTAATATATGAGGCAGTCATATTTCCTCTTTGAGGTAATACATTATTATAAATAAAATTGATTGTTTTGGATCATTGTTCATATGAAGTGTATGTCAGTTTGCTTGGAATGCTGTTCTCTGTCTCACAATGTTTCAGGGAAGAAGTAAACAGCTTGAAGACAGATGACAAATTGAATACAGCAGAACTGCAAAATAATAATGCTACACAAACACTTTTCAGTTTAATAAGTGTACACACACTCATGGAGAATAAGAATATACTTTAGTGTTGTTCACTGTTAACAAATACAGTGTGAGTTTTATTTATATTCTTGGGTAGCTGCACACCTGGTGGCTTTTGAAGAAGGGCTCAGCTCCATGGAGCTAGGTGGAGTTTCATTTACGCTTCGCACTTAAATAATTATTTTAACATGTCTGCTCATCATGAGGAAGAATGTTACTGAAACGGCTCTTTGCATCGACCAATGCCACTGCTACTACCAGTTTCACAAATTCTGTGGCAGGACATAACAAATAGTATATGCCAGAAGCAGTTATTTATACCACTGTTGAATTACCATTGTATAGGCAACAAATATTTAACAAGGAGAACACTGTGTTCACAACTAGTAGTAACATTACTAGTGTGTGTATATGGCTCCATGATTAGTTGAGGGGTGTAGAGGTGATTTTTGCTCCATCTCTTAGACCTTGTGAAATAAACAGTAGAATGCTGTATCATGTAGAACTCTATAGGCTGTGAGCAAAATGACTGTAACTGCCACTCTGTATTTTGGAAATTAAAATCTGAATATTTCTCCTTTCAAGTGTCTGTGTAATTTTGTAGCCATTGTTCTCAAACTCCAAGTGCCTTAAAATACCACACCTAAATTGATATAACAATTGCTGTGAGCTGTATTCAGTGACCATGGAGAAAATATTCTTATTAATCTATGACTTGTACAAACTGAAATATTTTCTCCTCTGCCTTCACTGTGATAGAAGTACCTGCAGTCTACACCCACTCGCTTGTTTGGATATTTTTATCATTCTACATTTCATTTTGCCACTCAAGATGAGCTCATTGTAAGTCCATTTCTCTTGCCCATGAAGCAGGTTCCAGAGAGAGACCCCTGAGGAGGTTGGCAATGTCCTTTCAGAATGAGCACATAGTCAGTGACACAAATGGTCAATCTACGTGATCCATGAATACGGTGGAGCAATTTATGCATCGTGATGTTGGCAACCACATTTATATTGTGTCAGGAAGAATAAGAGTAGACTGAATCAAGGTTTGATCACTGAATGAGGCTGATCTGGGAGGAAACCCAATTGCCTCATCTGTTCACTTGTAATGGCACTAATGTATGAGATGTCACTGACCGGAGATGTTTGCTACTTGAAGTGACATTTCTATTATCTTCATCTGAACATTTTGATGCATGACACAGGGACCATCATTGCTTAAACATCTTACTTACCGAATTATCAACAGCTTCTAGATACTTCTCACTTCAAGCCATTGACTTTGTCTAATACAGATCATTAAGAGCTGTAGGGTAGGTTGACTGTTAGTTTGCGTTTACTTCAACTCTCTTACATTTCTCTTACAATATTATCTGATATCCAAAGTTACCATTTAATACTGAATTCTAGAATTACAATCCCATAATTTAGCTTGGTTCCAGGGAAACATAATGTTAGATATTATGGAAATTTTCAAGTATTTTCACAAAATTACTGATATAGAAATGCACTATAAAACATACTAATTCTTGGAAGCTATCTTGAATAACAGTTTCCCATTAGAAGAAAATCTCATTTCCTGATTACTTAAAATTTATTTAATGAACTTGTTCCAGAACCTTAATGCACTCATATTTCAGTTCCAATTTTGTGTAATTTCATGTATATATTCTTGGAAGAAAATTTAAATACCATTCACTCTGGTTATTTGTGCCACTGTTATGATTTTGACATAATTGAGAAAGATTTGAATGAAGGCAATTCCAGTTCTGAGATGAAGCTTGCATTCAATATTTCAAGAAACTTAAGGGGTACTAGACTTGAATCCTGCTGTAGAGCTTTGTTAGTCTTTAATGCGGAATTAATGTCAAAACTAGAAAAGACAGTGAATGGAGTGCGGGATAAAGCATCTGTTGCTGAAGCACTTGCATTCACTCCTGGTCTTATGCTGATGTATGCACACTGCCTCTGCATGGTTGGTATTGGCTCAGTTTCCTTTCAACTTGTCTCTTTGAGGTCTGCCAGGTTTAATTTATTAATGTGACTGATGCTGGAAGGCACCTTTTGCCCAGGTGGTTCTGACAGGCACACCTAAAGCCTTGTGTGTGACACAGTTTGCAGCATTGATCTTGCCGAACACATCATTCTATGGAAGCATCACACCCTCTCTGCGACATTAAACTGGTAGGGAGCAGATGGTTGCTAGTAGTGATCTGTTTCCTTATATAGTCAGGTTCTTGATCAACCATGATCTTCCATAATTGAATGTGATGATGGAAGTAAAGAACATAGTAAGATCACCCCAATACTGACATGGGGTGCTATATGAGATCCATGAAATTACCTATATCAATTTACATTTATAGGTTAAGCTTTATGGCAAGTTTTGGACTGAATTTTCTGTTCTCAATACAAACCCACATATCAGGTCTTCAACAGCCATCTTGTAGAGGCATGAATCCAGTTGTGAAGTCCAACAATGGGGCGTGTTGATGCACATTTTCTCAAATATATTGTTCCCGAAATGGATCATGCATTTGGAAGAGTGGAAAACATTCGCCATGTGCCACTAATGTCTACATGCAGCTTTTCAGAGGTTTTTGTGGTGGAAGATTCTTTTATAAGACACATTATTGATCACGTAAATTAGAAGTACTTGATTAGAATTACTAGAGTTCCAGAGTATTAATTACTCGCAAATGATTTAAGGCAGACTGGATCACTTTGGAGTAAACAAGCTGATGTGACATCTATAGTAGCTTTGGCTGAGCTACCTTGAGTGTCATGATGAAATGTGTTTAATTAGTTGTCCTTGTCCTTTGCAGCCCATATTCTGATCAACTCTCATGAGTTGCTTGCTATAAAATTAACACTAAAGTTCCAATATTATGAAAGCATTAAATCTTCCTGACATAAAGAAATAATTATGTTATATCCTTAAAGAATAGCAATTCCCTTTGCTAGCAGTCGAAATCAGAAAGTAAGCAATATGAAGACAAAAACAGTATAACACACAACAAAGATTTTTAGCAATGAATATATGTTTGTGTTATTAAGTCAAGCACAAATCATTAATAGGTTTCTTTGTGCTACATTGTGATAGAAAACAGTATTCTGTGAAACAAATCAAGTGAAAACTGTAATTGTGTGTACCATTTTATGACCAACTGGCACTCAGCAGTAGGCCCTATGTATTAAAAGTGTATAAATTGGAATTTTAGAATGTATTACTCTTTTTTATGACTGTATAAAGAAACTGTACACCTTTAAAACCAGTAATAAAATTTGTAAAAAATTATGAAAACTGCTTATTGCTCACCTCAAATTGGGCCAGTCTCTAAATCAGCTCGTAGGTTCAATCACAGTGCATGAGTTTATGGTTCTCAGTTCAACTTAAATTGCACGGAATACCATGACATATATGTACTGCCCACTTTAATATTCAAAATCACTGAATTTTTCATTGTTTCATATTATATCTTCTGAGTGATACTTTTTTCTGTCAGCTCAGCCCTCTTACTAATATCTGTGAAACTCTTTGATCCATTCTTGTTGCCCTTTGTTGTTTATTTTTATGCTAGGTCCATTCCTGTACTTTTCTATTATTTGCTTGTGTACCCATTTCTGCTGTCTCTTCATTCTTTCTTGAGGTTTGCATATGTAACTTTTGTGGGTGTGGTAATCTTGGAAAATGTCCCTGTAGTGATTCATTATAATTAACAGTAATTGTTGGCCTTTATTACATGTGTGAATCGGAACAGCTGATATATACTGATTATACTGATAAATCTGGCTCTTTTGCTGTGTCCTGAACAATTTGTGCTATCTTTTCTTCCGTAGTTGCTGCAGTGTGGTGTGCCAGCTCTACAGTCCTCTGTGGGATTGTGCTGTTCACATCTTATACAAGTGGGTGCTCCCATACAAAGTTTTTTGGTGTGCCCATTTTCTGACAATTGCTATATATGAACAGCCTGGGTTTGTAGTTGTGTACAGGTAATTGGTTATAAAATAGTCTCACTTTTTGTAGTGTATTAACAATATTGTTTTGGGTGGTATGTATGTTATGTGTGCTTCCTCTTCAATTATTTTTAGTTGCTTTGCAGTATGTACTGGTAGTTCTGATTCTACACAATCTTAGTATTTCTTCAGTATATTCTATATAAGTATTTCTTAGTATTCCCAGTCTAATTAAGCGGTTGTGTGGGATGAATGTCCGAAGGATTGAACTTATCAGATAAGTGTGGTTTAAGAATTAATTTACTGATGAAGCTGTCTTAAAGGTTATATCATATCTATAATTGAGCCGTTTGTTTCTTTCCAACATCCCTGGTATATTATTAATTTCAGGAAATTACACATGTTTAGTGGGTTTATTCCTGGTCTATCGTTGGCAGTCACTGCTTTTGTTTTAGGGTCCAGTGTCTGAGTGATCATATTTTATGTTCCATAATTACTGTCTGTTAATGTTGGATTTTTGTTTCTTGTTCAGTTGTCCATTTTATCATTATCTTCAATATAGCCTGCTCTCAGGTATTAAAATAGCTGTAGTTAATCTGACATAGGTTGTCTTTCTGAGAGTCGCAACAGAGGAGGTGTCCTCCCCCCACCTGAAGACGGAAACAGATCCAGTTTCCGAAACGTTGTGTTTTCTAGTTTTTAGAATACCGGACGATGGATAGAATCCAAAAACCCCGTAATTTTAAGTGTTATACACCATCGTAAGATCCCTTTAGTTTTTATGAGTTCTGACACGAATTCCTGAATCTGAATCTGAAGAATCTGCCTTGCTTTAAGGATAACAAATATATCAGAATCAGAGTTGAGGCCTCCGCTCCTTGTAATTTATGCATCACTTGTGAAACGTTCCTCAAACATGACAGACTGCGCAAGGTATGAGAAGAAGAAGGATCGGTCATACCGGAAACAAATCTGCTGAACGGAAGAGAGCGCTCCGGCCATAAATCAGCCCGCGGGTTTCTAACCCCTCTTTTTTCTTATTCTTTTTAGAGAAATATATGCAGAAAAACTATCATGGGCACCATGAATCTTTCTGCTAACTCCAGAGAGACAGAGAAGGAAAAGGGTTACAGAAGAAATGAATGTGCAAAGAATGACTGAGATCTAACAATTTCCTTTTTCTGATCGTCATCACAACCAACAGAAACTGAAACCCAGACTGAAGCACCTATCACATAAATATCATAGTATAATTTTAATTAACGTGGGTACGCGTGACGAAAATGACGGGTTCTAGTTCGGATGATATGATTTATTAGCACTTCGGTTACAAGTTCTCTTAATTACATTTAATACAGCGTTATCGCTAATTTACACACTTCTCAGTTCACCGTTGCATACGCACTAGGATTCTCCATCTTTCATAGTCGTCTCCTGGCAACGGATCTTAACACAGCAACTGACACTTCAGATCACTATGAAGTCTTCTGTTATTTCGCCTTAAATCACCCTGGAACTTCGGAACTCAACTAAAAAACTCTTTTTAGCTTTAAACGGACTCGTGTTATATAGTCGCGCGAAGGACAACGCAGAAAAAAAAACAGTTCCACTGCTGCGTAGAGCA